CCACTTTTAAAATGTTCATATTTAAGCATTTATTTATCTTGAATAAAAAAATGAAACGTGTTAATTTTATAAACAACAAAATCTATAAAAATAAAATCTGTGTATCTAAAAACACATATCGTTCCAAACACTAAACTTAAATTTTTCGAAATCGTTTAATTTTGATTTATAATTTTGATAATTTTATTTGTAATGAAATTAACTTCGAATTATCGCATTAGAAAGTTCCATTGTTCTTTATTTTATATAGAAATTGTTTTTTCTTTACAATGTATAGAAGATATTTTTCTTTAGTTTATATAGAAAAAATGTTTTTACTTTATATAGAAAATGATCAGAAGTCATTTTAGGAGATTCCGTAAAGAGAAACGCACTTAAAAAGTCGCTTGATTTGAAACGTATATATGTTTAATTCTCTTTTATGTCTTTCATCTCTAGTATCAATATTTATGTTTTTTTGCCGTCTCCTAGAAAAGGTTATTACGGACGTTTCTACTAAACCTGAAGATTTATGTGTTATGGTATGCGTTGTAAGCTGGGATATCAAAAGTATGAATTTCGGACAAATGCATATAAATCTACATCCATTTAAAATATATTACCATGATATATTTTGGAAGCATTGAAAAGTTTCAGAAGCTATCAATCGTGTATAGACGCCGAATGCATTTGAATTCCACAAATATGGCCAAGGTTTAATATACATTTTTTACTACTACTACCGGTGGATTAATGGTTAGCGGCTCGATTAAAGAATCGGAGAGACGAGTTCGAATTCGAGTCGAATTCATTACATTCACTTATGTGCTTATAACCTTGGAAAAGGTATGAATCCTCTTCTTCTCCCCCAGCTATGGGTAAATAGCAGGACAGACCTGGTGCTTATATGGTAACTGTTCTACCGCAGAAAGAAATGGCAACCTACTACGGGGGAAATAGCTGCCTCGTCAGTCATGTATCGAAAGATATGTGCCTAATTGTGTATCACGCATGGCACATAACTGACGTTTGTTTACGTATTAAGTGCGTTTCTTAATGTATCCTGACCGCATGCAAAGCTAACCGTCTATTTTAAAAAAATATTTATGATATGACAGTTGCTCTAAAATGTCTGCTGTATACAATCCGTTTTGTGATGTCAACAAACACGCATTGACACTTTTGTAATGTTAACGAATACACATGTCACTTTCGTAATTCTCGTTGTAGTAGAGACTTTGCAATCGCAGATACAACTATAGTAACGCCGTTGAACAATGCTGGTGTATGACGCCTTCGAATAACGCTCGCACTAATAGTATTTGCTCGATAATACTCGCTTGAAAAGTAACCACCGAATAGAGAAATAGTATAGTGATTAGTATAGAGATAGAGGATAGTGTAGAAAGAGTGAACCGTATAGTAATAGAGGATAGAATAGAAATGGTGATCAATTAGACGCAACGCTAATTCCCATATGTACATTTACCTTTACCACCACGCAATCTAATTATTCCAAATAGAATGGCCCGTGTTTGCTCGCTGGCTATCTATGTTCAAACTCCAATGTCGACAGCAACATTTTATTTCTATATAACAATCCGTTTTCACAGATCAGCGAATGAACACGAGAGAACTTAAGAGAGAAGCATTCTTCTTCGACTCATTTGATTTGGTGTTACAAAATGTACGTTGCCAAATAACAGAAATAACATCACTTTAGGACTTTTAAGTGTAGTAAGTCTTGAAATAGTACATGGAACTCGAAGAAAAGTAATAGCATAAAAGTGGTTGAGGAAGTGAAAATAAGCCATAATACAACTACTGCCCCTGCAAAGAATCTAAAAAAGAAATAAAAAACAAATAAAAACGCATTTGCTACGTAGTGTAGGGTTAAAAACTGAAACCGCAGGTTTTATTCTTGCTGCACGGGACCAATGATCGTTATCTAGAAATTACAAAGCCCACATGTTCAAACATTGTGTTAAAATGAAATGAAGATTCGGTGATAAATATCAAGAAACAATTGACCATTATGTATCAGGTTACACAGTATTAACATCCACTGAATCTAAAACTCGAAATGATAGAATGGGCCAATATCTGCCCTAGAAAATATGCAACTTTTACGGTAAGGAAACTACAAGAAACTGTTATGAACATAAGCCAGATCCGTTTACAGAGATAGGACCTGTAACAATTTTATGGAACTCTAAAATACACACAGACAGAAAAATCAAACTTAAGCACCTAGGCATCGGCATCAGTGACCAAAAAAACAAAATATATTCTTATTAACATGGCAGTCACTGCAGATTGTAATACATCTTTGAAGTAGTCAAAAAAAAAAAAAAAATCAGAATACAAAGATCTTGCGGAAATAAAAAAAAAAAGTATGGCGCACGAGGAAATCAATAATTCTAGCTGTAGTTCGAGCCCTTGGATGGATTGGAAAAAGATTCCGATAGACTCAGTGAAAAGATTCCTGGTAGTCCAAACCTTAAAAAAAAAATGTACTCACAAATACATCTCATCTGTCACGAAGAAATGTATCTGTTATATACCGTATCGATGAACACAAATGGGTATGCCCCTATCCTCATAAATACATTGAACGCTATAGTAAGTCGGGTTAATATGCTGTCTAAGTAGTTCACGAATTGCAGTGTTTTACCTACTTCACGCCGTTGGCGAGTATTGCATTTTTTTGATGTTATAAAGATTACCATTTCACTTCCAACCACCGTTTTGGTTATTCCACATTCAGTAACCTTTTGTATGTCACAACACTATGTAAAATGTGCTTAGATCTTATGTTTTTTTTACCTAAAAGATGGTCAATGGAGGATGTCATGAAGCTATCTCGGTCTTTAGGTTTCTGCTTGACTGGCTGTTGAAGACATCTGTTCAGGTATATTTGTGTTTCCTCAAAATCCATAGCAGATGATTAAGTTGGTTGCATTCTTTATATTGCAAGTATACTGGATGGACCATAGTTATCTATTCCGGGAGATAACTCCATGATGTTCCTTTCATAAGTAGTATCTCTAAAAACGTTATAACCAATTACTCATTTACGATATTTTAGTTGATTGCATTTTTAATGATTTCTTAAAGCAATCTTGGGTAGAGAGATGAACATTTATAAAAAAGCTGATAATGTCTATATTATATCTTACCAAGCGCAACAATTTCGTATTTCTATGGACGTTAAAAACATTTTGTTGCAGAAAGTCGTGATCTTACATGAATAAATCTAATGTGGCAGGGCGTACTTTGTAGATGTTCACATGCTTCAATTCTCATCGAAATCTCAATTACTCACCAATTATATTGAATATGACTAATATTTTTACATGGAGATCTCATCGTACGTTTCTATACATAATATACTTTGAAAGAAAGTTCACTGCATTTATTTACAAATTATTTATATATTCATCATATGTTTTAAAATTTATGTCGGAAATTTTTAGACGAAGAATTATCATTATTTTACGCATTATAATTCACACCAGCAATTCATTTTTTGGGGGATGCCCACATATTCTGGTTTTTCATTCGATCGTCTTCAGATATTTGACTATCCTACTCGATAACCTTTTTACAATTTTGAACAGTACACTTTATTCAATTTACCAGAGTAGATTGTTCTCATTTTTCTTTCCATGCTTAGGGAACATTTCATATGAAGTTAATATTCATCAGTCCTATTGACCTTCCGGAGTTTACGAGGATATATGTTAACCAACGATTTCACAAACTTGGCGCTTAGTCTCTTGAGCATTCCCCGGGAAAAAAATGTGGCCTAAAATATAATATGTATAATCATGTTGTAGAACTATGGGTCAGCAGCATTCGTATTTTCGCTTAATATACGAAAAAAATGATCATTCTGGTCAGGACAATAAGAATCTTCTATTTTGTAATAAAATATTTTTATCTAAGAGAGTTTATGCCTGTATCTGTCTATATTTCTGGGATGAGGTATTATGTACATTATTTACATTATTCGGACTATTGGCCTCATCTTTGTCACCATATTTATTACAACATTTTGGCCGGTGTACGTTCCAGTCGTCTTCAGGTGATTGGAATTTCGAACTGAACCCTTTATTTCGCTCACTGGGGTAGACTGTTTTAGTTCTACGCACTAAGTTTAATGGATGTCAGTTATCAGTAATCTCTTGTAATTTTCCCTCTGAAAGTTAACCGGGTATTGAACTCACACTGTTTGGGTCCTGTCACTGGATCTAACTAACGCCTTTATCCATTTTGCCATGTGTCCTTGAGACACATACCTATTTGATATTCATTTAAATTCCAAGTCTTAGAGAAGACTCGGTAACTCAGTGACATGAGTAACAGATTATTCTAATAATCTTTAATCCAATTTGGTATTGGCATGGTGTGAGAAGTGCTGAGAACGGAAGGGAATTAAGAAAAAACGATACAAGGAATCTTGATTGAAATCCAAAACAGAAATTTGAATAGCAGTTGTTTGTTTGAGAAGAGTTCAATGTGACATAAGACACCAAACAATTATATCCTTTCATTAAATATTGTGAAAAATATTCTCGAGAAAAAATACATCGATTTTCTGTCTACATTACGTGTTAAAAATCGTACGTTAGAGATTGCATCATTCTATTCGATGATGAGACGAGGCTGTAGAAATGTTTACTAACAATTCAAGAATGAGTGCAGATGGATTTAGGGCTAATAATCAATAAGTCTATAGCATCATAGATATTAAAAAGCATTCATTTATATACATATATTTGTAAGAAAAGTCATTCCTTCTCAAGTAACTTAACTCAGTAGTTAATATTATATCACATAGATCGAACAAGCTATAATCTGAAAATCACAGTAAAAATATATATTAACTTATTGATACGACATCGGGTATAATATAAACATACACACACATATGTGAACACATACACAAACACACACATATATATATGTGTGTGCTTATCTAAATTGAAAAATGTGTATGCATTCAAATATCGATATATATGTTCATACATCTATCTATCTATCTATCTATCTATCTATCTATCTATCTATCTATCTATCTATCTATATGCATGGATGAATCAGTATCTCTTTACTGATTGGTTCTTTCAGGAGTGTGTTCCATCTGTAAAACCTCGCTTTCTTTAATTAGTCAAACCAAATTCAAAATGCTTCCTTCTTTTAGTGTCATCTTTTGGAAATGTGCTATTTCTGCCAAAAGTTACATCGTTGATCCAACCAATGGATCAAGTTTTCATATGGAAATATGAAATGTTTCTACAAAAATCATTCCATGATGGAACTGATCAACTGCAATGTCAGCCTAGAAAAGTTTCAGAAATATTTACAGTAAAAGATATCCTGTTTTGCTCGCAGAATGGTTGGAGAAGTTGAAAGCCGACACTTTAAGAAGAATATGAGGAAACCTGTAACGAGGAAGAACTAGTGTTGCAGAAAGGAATGTTAACAAAAGTGAAACAAATTGTTTAGAAAAAGAACCAGAGGTGCAGAAAATTATCGAAACGTGCCAGATTCCTACTGAATACAAAAGTCTTGAATCCCTTGATGCAGATGATGTTTTCGAATGGGTCGAGAAGCCGGAATTGAAGATGATACTCATAACGAAGGCAGTAGTGCTTGTGATAGTTGCAGTAATAGTGAGTCTATATTAGACGATCTGAGTGATGATGAAAGAGTACCATGGGAAAAAGCAGAGAAGTCTATTAAACATAACTAAAATTCATTCCCTTGTTTCATTGAGCACTGGAATATCAAGACACATGCATTACAAAATGAAATTATCAAAACGAAACTGCATAATCGTACAGTGAAAGAAGGTCGTAATTGCGTCAAAACGCCCAAGCAAAATATGCCATTAACGCAAATGAAGAACACAGAGAAATTCAAGAAGATATGACAATGGACGAACGATAAATTTATAAGTTTCATAGATTTTTAAGTTTCTTAATTTTGCACAAATTAAAATATTTGTTTAGCACAAGTTTTTTTTTTAATTACCACTGGTTGCCAATATTTTGTACATTAATGTATTCAATTTTCACTTTAAATAAAAAACAAACAAAAAAAAAAAAAACAACGAATCAACGTTACAAACTACTTTTTGTATCCTAAACTCTAAAACTTAAGGAAAGTTTTAAGCTTGCTGCAGCTGACTTTTCTTCTTCGAATCCGAACGGTATCCTCAATAACGAACATCTCTGATGTTTTGTTTAATGGAGTTGTACTATATGCCCTTTGGGAAATTGTATCTCCAATGGATTAAATAATATTTATGTTGGTCACACCACAAACTCGCTTTCACGGCACTTGACTCTACATTTGGATGATAACTCTGATAGACATCTTCATGACGGTGGTCCTCGAGTATAGAATCCAGAGGTTGGTAGTGAATATTTCGGAGACAGTAGGAAAGCGTAGTGCAGGTTCGCAGTGGATATCACAGCAGAGTGTAGTTCATCTTTCTCCTGGTCGCCTTTGGTCCTTCCGGTAGAGGAAACAAGATGGCCGCCTTTATACACGACGAATACAGTGTTGTGCGGCTTCTGATTGGTCAACCTTCTGTTGGTCGAATATAAAGGGAAATAAGTCATTCTGACTCGCTCACTAGTTATACATAATATACCCCCAAAACTGTAACAAAATCTAACCTTTTTAGGCATTTAAAACAATATTCTTGACCGCATACACAATTCCGGACAATCCTAGTTGAAAACTCAACTATATTTAAACATGAAAAAAAATAAAATTATAATATAGGATTCGTGTATACGGAATAAATTCCAATAACCCCAGAATACTATTTATAAAAAAGTGCTCAATACAGAGTAGACCAAATATAAATATTTATTCGAAAATTATAACATAAATATGAACATTCAACACAATCACCTGATAAGACACCAGAAGTGTTGAAACAAAATGGCTATTTTGTAGTGATTTTATAACATATTTATGTTATAATTTTCGTATATATATATATATATATATATATATATATATATATATATATATATATATATTCAAGCAAATTTGGTTGAATTGTCAGGACATGTTATGTCTATTTTTATTTTAATCCTCTCAAATTCTTGGATCAACTCTGAGTAAGAAAGACAACGTAGTTTTGGTTATTTCTTTTATTCTCCCAAGTACCCCCAGTCTCATTTAAGATCACCTTCTGGGGTGAACTACTAAAACAAAATATTAATATAATTGATTGTTGTGATTTTTTTTATAAATGCATATTAAGCATGTATGAGCGCACTCTGTTATAATCAATTTAAAATGTTAACCGCTAAAGCAGAGAATATATACAATTGTAATGTACAATTTAAGTGTTTTTAAACATTACTATTATAGACATTTTAAAACATTGTTGCTATACTCATAATTAACCTTATTTAGTTTGGGTTGTATATTTCTTATATAGAGCGCTTCAAATATTTTAAGATTTGTCTTTCATTCTCCTGGTAAAATATACTTGCATTGTCAATATATCACTAAATTGTGCATGCGGACAAGAATAATCCTTAAAATGTTAGGCTAATGAACTTGAATATGACGTGTAGTGCAAGTCTCCTCAATAATGTCGTTGCCGTGAAACTAACATATATGTTTACTTTTTTGTCAGTGATAGAATCTCCCAAAGGAGATTTAAATTGATATACAGTGTTCGTATTTTGCAAAACATTAGTTGCCAGAGAAGAATATTTGCGGATGATTAAGTTGGTTACATTAAATTTTGTATATAATTAGTTTTATTTTTTTTACTGTGATCAGTGGGGGGATATATTACAATTTATGAGTTTTTTTAGTATTATTTCATTGTGTTTGTAGATAACGTGTATTTGATTGACGTATAGTAAGTTGATATATATAGGGTTATTTGAGGAAATATTGCACCTGTTTTAATTTATATTAATATTTATAATAGTTCATCTTATTTGTTCATCAACAATGTAATTAGGAAACACATTATTAATGAGAATTTTGTAATGTTTTTTTTTTTAATTCAGTGTAGATACTTTTCTTCGAGGAAGAGTTAACATTTTCGTGTTTTTTTAAATTTTGTAAAATAGTTTTTTTTTAATGGAACATTCAATTCTATGGTTGAGCGTGCACGTGTTTATGTTAGATTTTTTTATATGGGGTGGTAGTAAATGCATTATTATTGGTGTCTATCAGTATAACAAGAAAAGGAATTTTATTGTTAAGTTCATATGTAAATTTAAGAACGGAGGTTTTTGCAAGTGTTTTTGTCTTTCATGTATTTCATCTATGTTGTTAAATAAAATGAGAATATAATCTATATATTGTAGGCAAATGGAAGGTCATTGAGTGGTATTAAGTATCTAATTTACAAGGTTAACCATGTAGAAATTAGTAAAAGTTGGTCCCAGAACTGAACCCATGGAACGTCATCACGTTGTATGTAGATATTATTTTGATGGTCATAGAAAAGAACCTCAGGGATACAATTCAAAAGTAGTTTTGTAATAGGCTTAATTTTTAGTAGAGGGAGAGAAGGATTGTCGTAAATATTCTTTATAATTATATCAATCGTTTCTCTAACTGGCATATTGATAAATAAACTTTCAATATCAACTGAGGCTATGGTTTCATTATTAGGTTTTTGTGTTTTTAAGACTTAGATTAGTTCGTAAGATGATTTACTCCAATATTTACTAGGTATGTATGGTGTAATGTATTAGTTAATGATTTTGGTTAATTGATAAACCGGAGTGGTGATTTAGGATATGATAGGAAGGAGAGGGAAGTTAGGTTTATGTATTTTTATAGTTCCATATATGTATCCTGGTTTGTAGTCACCACTTATTTTTGGAAGTTTTAAGTTGTCTCATTCTGCATTGTTGGCTCTGATCAGTTTGTTGATTTTCAATTTTAGCTGGTTAATATTAATTTTGTTGATTTTTTTAAATTTTTTTTGATCATCGAGTATTTGTTGTAATTTTGAATTGTAATGACATTTATTTAATACAAAAAGATGTTGGTTTTACCTGCTTTAAAAAAAATATGAGTATGGTTACGTAGTTACTTGGAAAAGATTTTAAATTATTTTATTATGAGCTCGGACGAGTTTTTCTTTGGTCATGTCTATCTTTCATTGCTTCAGCTTTGAATAGATCTCGAATTTCTGTTTTTGGTTTTATTAGTTATTGTTCTTTAAGTTTTTGCGTTTTCTATATAAAATAGCAATTTCAGTTTTTTTTATCCAATTTATTGTGTTGTCTGTATAGATGACAGTTAGGTACAAGGTTGAGTAATTCCTTTTGGTTGTCTGTTAGTTGGTAGCTAGAGATGTTGATGAATAAATCATTATTAGTTGAAAGATGAATAGATCCTTTGTATAATGTATAAATGTTTTTTAATGTTCAGATGGTGTTGAACTACAGATTTATTAGTGATTTATTTAAACTATTAAGGAGAGGTTGGCAGTTTTAGTCTTTTGTAAATCTCTTGGGTTTTTTACTTAGAGATTTAAGTTGTCTTTTGCTATTTCAATTTCTTTTTCCACGGGATTACGTTTAAATTGTCAAGTGTTTTCAACGTGATGAGCTGCTGGACCATGTACTTTTAAATATGTATAATAAGTTAGTATATGTTCATTTAAGCATGTTTGGTTGAATATTATTGACATATTGTGTCTTTATATTTTTACTTTAATCTTCTCAAAATCTCGAATCAACTTCTTAATGTCGTTATTGAATTAATTAATGGAAAATCTACAGCGCATTACAGAATGAATTTAATAACATTAAGAAGTTGCTCCGAGAATTTGAGAGGATAAGAAAAAATTAAACACACACACACACACACACACACACACACACACACACACACACACACACACACACACACACACACAAAGAGAGAGGAGAGAGAGAGAGAGAGAGAGTTTCTGATTCTCGGGAATTCAGTAGATCATTTGATATATTTTCCATCCATGTTATTCTGAGCGTCATTCTAGAGGACCAGGACTCTGATGTCTCATAGTGCCTCTTGATTTGCAAGGAAATTATCCAGCATTCACTTCCACATATGAGGATTGACAGTATATGTTACCTTTTTTTTGTAACATTTACATACTTTACAATTCATTTTACATATAATGATCAAATACAGTAGTCAATTCTGTTATGATGTCATAGAATATTGCTATGCGAAGATAAGTGTCGCGAAGTATCAGATGCAAATCGTAAATTCATAATGCAGTTTTATGACGTCGTACCAAGCGAAGGAACGAAATTTTATCAAGAAACTATATGCAATATATATATATATATATATATATATATATATATATATATATATATATATACAAACTCTTATCAGCAGTCCAAGAAAAACATTAATGTTTACCACGCCAAAATTAATTTTTTAAGATGTAGAAACATCTGCATGAAGAAGTTGGCGAAACCAGAAACACGTGTAGCACATTAAGGAAAATAGCGTATAATACGTATTTGAAAATACAAAATACAAATTCAACCAAAACTTGCAGTTTATCTTGTTTTTAATATATATATATATATATATATATATATATATATATATATATATATATATATATATATATATATATATGTGTGTGTGTGTGTGTGTGTGTGTGCTGAGGTTAACACCGAATAGCAACAATCTTCATTCTTCATGTCTTTATATTGAACCCTTTTTTCCCAATGAATATAGCATGCCTGAAAGTAAATTTCTGTCATATATAGATACAAATACATACAAATATATGCACACACACACACACTTACACACACACTTACACACACACACACATATATATATATATATATATACATACACAAATACACACACATATATATATGCTTCAAATTACACATATCCATATATAAATGCAGAATGTACATTCGTCGTATTTCTGACTCTAGATTGTATTCATAATCGATTGTTTAATTTAAGAATATTTAAATTAATTTCCATATGTAATTAAACAGGCTTCTTTCTATTATACATAGGTTCATAGGAATAGTCTGTGTATTTTTACTCATTTGTATCTTTAAAAACACACACATATATATATATATATATATATATATATATATATATATATATATATATATATATATATATATATATATATATATATATATATATATATATATATATATTTCATATATAAAGGGCGTTTCATTAAGACTCCTCTTTTGCACTAATATGCAGCTTCAACGAGAACGTCTCGAAGAAAATATGCCCTCATGTATCTGCTTTTAAATGTCTATAAGTCAATTAATTTTCGAAATGCCTTTACCTTCAAGGCATAATTAAATTTTGCCAACCTACTTAAAGTATACCTTATTAGAGCATATCATATTTTTATATGTTCGCCACCCAATGTGTTATAGACAGGAGAAAGTGTATTAAACTTTCATGTAGCCGGTTCTCCCTGATTATATTCTAATCGATTTGTTATTCCGAAATATAGCGGACGTCCCTTTATATCCGAGGCTGTATTGCATGAATATATAAAATATATAAAAGCATTGACTTCCGCAGAGTGGATAGGAAAAAAAAAAACCAAAAAAAAAAAACAACTGTTAAAAGAAATAATAATCTTTACATGACACTACCAGTTCGACAAAAATATTTTAATATTTCACTCTTTAGTCTGGGTGGAGCCGTGATATTGTTTTTCTCTTCATCGTGATTTTCTGTTTCTTTCTTAAATGCTGACAAGAAGTTGAAAGATTATATTAAAAATACTGTTAGGTTTTCTGATTGGAAATGTTTACTTGTCAGAATCTATATTATAAGTCGAACATTCATCCAGGCTTTGAATATTGCTGTTATACTGGTTTGGTACTTCGGCTATGTATTTAGAAATTCCTGATAAAAATGCTAATAAGAATCTGCAATATTATTGGTTCAAACCTGGCATCTCTGCTTCAATCACTACCCCAAAGCGATAATATAAATTTCCTCTGTATTTTTTCTATAAATATTCTCATGATAATAGTCCTAATGATCTGTCCTCTTTGCTACAGAGACTTTATGAATTTAAGTGTAGTACTATTTTGGCAGCAAAGTCTCAGTCACCATTTTACAGTAGAAATGTCTAGACGCAAGTTCTATGCTAACAGTTTCTTCTATCACACTTCTAGCATATGGAACTCTCTTCCACCTTCTTGCTTTCCAGTCAACTTTAATCTTCAAACATTTTAATGCAATGTCGATCGTTATATTCTGCTTTCTTAATTCCTATTCATTCTTCTTAATAATGTTTTATTTTTCTCATATTTTCTCACACTCAGTAAACCCCTTGCGTCTTAGTCGCTTTGTCGTCTTGCTTGGGGAGAAATGTTTAACAAAAGCGCAGAAATCCGAAAGCGCATTGTAATTGGAAAAATGCCTTCCAGAAACTAAGCATAATAGTTTGAAATAGGAAATTCTTGTTAGAAACAATCAGAAATTTATTTACCGGCTATAGTATATTTATTATTTGTTGCAATAAATGGCGCGTTTTTCTTAACAGATAAAAGAAGAGAATCGAAAATAAGAAAATGTCATCCTACAAAGGAATGTTATGAATACCATGACCCGAAAATATGAAAAAGAAAAGACTGGATAAAAATTTACTCAATATTTAATAAAAGAGATGCTTACTATAAGCATGTCTCGGTGGAATGTTCAATAAATAATAATTGTTAGAACCCGTTTATTTAGATCTTAAAGGCAAAAATTCTTACCCTTTGCGAAATATATTTTCAATAAAAACGGACCTAAACAAGATGCTGTACATACGATATTTTTTGCCCGCAATACATGGTGTTTCAGAATTGGTGAAACAAAGCAGCGGCCTCTCAGAACTTCCCTCTCGACTGTATTCTTTTTCTCGTTTTACATTATTGCTGGGAAATAGATAACATTTTGATATATTCAAACAGATATAGCGAAACCATGTCTTGGATGATGAAGTAGAATGTTTTTGTGTGAAGACATATTGCGAAACTAAGTCTTTCAAGATTGTTTTAATAAGATAAAGAAGGAAGTTCAATTTCAAAAGATTTCCAAACAGGAGTCAGATTTTCAAGTTGGTCAAGAACTTCGAAGCTCATGGCACTTGTAAAGATCATAGGACAACGAGTTCCTCACCAAGGGGGAGGTGCACAAGCTATCAACAACTTTGCATACTGCATTCAACTGAACGGCAAACATCTGGAGCATCTACTTTAGCGCTCTTCTTGAAATTTTTGGTTCATGTTTGAGACAAAATAATAGCAGATCCTAAAATATTATTCTTTTACTTTTCAATAAATGTACTTGATTTGTACTCGTTAATTTTGTTTATAAAATTGTGAAATACCCTGTATTACTGATGAGATGAATATTTCAACTAATAACGCTTGGAGATGCGAATAATATCCCATATCACTGCCATGTCACATTGCGGCACTTATTATTACGTAAGTGTAGTTATCTATCTACTTTCCGAGTTTATCCTATTTTAAATATTGTATTTGATTATTTAAAAATAGTCATTTTCTCTTGTGCCACATATATTGAATCGCGTTCCATAAAAGCAGTTCTTCTCCTTTTCTGTTTTTTCTTAAAAATCTATCTAAATATCAGGTTACTATTTAAACATTTATCCAGATGAGACCACCGTTTATGAAGCAAAATCATTGGAAGTTTGCAACCGATCTTTGCTCTGGCCAACTTTTAAAAAGGGAGAATAAACGCTTTCTTACTTTCAGAATATTAAAAATCAAACTCGTGTCAATTTGTCAACAGCTTTTATACCCTGAACTTTTTGTGCACGTGTTTTCTCCAGTCAGGATCGACGGTTCAATAAGACATAATACTTGGCATCACTATTGCGTTCCAATTGCACTCCCGACCTCAAGATGAACTGAAAGAAAATGTATTGCTGAATAAATATGTAAAGTGATTGGCCCCAGGAATTACCTGACAACTTCCCTCGGGTTTATATACCTTCAGGAATCAGATTAGGCCAAGTATGGGATATTGATCCCATATCTAGGCTGGTTATTTTCAATGCTCACTTCCTAGTCTTGATAGAGACCAAAATCCTTTACGCGGGGTTGTAAGCAATAACATATATCCCGTCCTGGGTAAGACGATGAACTACATCCAGCAGCAAGGCCTCTGATCAGGAGGTTTTGAGGAGCATGGAACCACCTCTTAAATGCTGATGTTCCCAGGTCGACCTTGACCCTGGGTAGTAGCAACTGTTAGGGTCCCAGCTATGGGCATATAGTTTACTATTACCAGCAATAAAGTTTTGAAAAGATTATTACCAGCAATAAAATTTTGAAGGAAAAATATTAACCAGAAACACAATTTTGATAAAAAAAATATATTACCAGCAATAAAAAATGTTGTTGGCATTAAATAACCCATTGAGGTTAACATGCTGTAAAGCAAAATAAATCAAACCAATCTAAACCAAAATCTATCCTAAAAATTGTCGGCATTAAATAACTCATTGAGGTTGATATGCCGTAAAACAAACCAAACCAAACCAAACCAAACCAAATCAATGACACATTTCCCTCTACAATATTCTTCCAACAGATACCAAACTGCAAGTGTGTCACTATATTACCACTGTTACCGTAGTAGTAAATTTTCAGAACTTACTCTACTCTCCAAATCAGCCTTATATTCACCGCTATCGCGTCCGCTCATACAGCTATTCTCCAAGAACTACCACTCTGTGCTTTTTTTTACTACTATGTTTAATTTATTGTTGAATTCTTCACGACAAAAGTTAAATTGTAATTTTTTTCCTCATATTTGCCACTTCTTACTACCTTCTCCAGCATTCATATCAGTCATATTCTACAGTAGGTTGTTCATAAGCCCTGGGAGAAAACAAATATCAATAAGATGAACAGTAACATCATTTAAAGCGATCAATGTTCTTAATCCGATCGAGTTTTTCATAGAGATATCTCATCAAGCTATATTCAGCAATACCTAAACAGTCAGTTATATACAAACAGTCTTTCTCGGATCAATCGTTAAAATTCCCCCCTCTAGTGAATGAAGTCTGTAGATTTTAGAGATGACCATTCTAATCTGAACATCGTGGACTGGAGCAAGAATTTCAATCAAACAACTCCACTGAATCTATCTCATGAAGACTTTCAACAGCAGCAACAACTTAAATGGATATGATTTTACAGAAATAATAATGACATAATCAAGATGCTGACTTTCTACAAGACTTCGAACAAACGATTAGGAATGAACCACACATCACTAAGGAAAAACAAAATGGTAATAGTGGAATTAAGAAAATTATTTTCTTGAAAAATTGTTTTAATAGAAAGATTTTATACATTTCAACAGATGATAACTCTTCAGTAAATGAAAGCTGAATATTTCCGCGTGGAAAAAGGTTAATATTAGTATTAGATTTAGAATTTCCAATTTGAAGAAAGTATCTTGAAAAGTTATTTGTGCCTGCATTTAACCTCATTTTGTCAAAATGATGCCGAATCTGCTTGATGAAGTACTGAAAGAATTGCCTTCATTCGCCCTCTATAAAATAACATTACCAGAAAAAAAACAGTTCTATCAGACATAATGGCTCGCAAGAAATTTTCAGATGCTTGAAAGCAATGAAATTCTATGATTTATGATTTCTCAATGATACCTTTACTGCTTTAGATTATTTGTTTGCTTCGTGTTCAGTGTGATACTGCAATCATTTGTCTTCGACAGTATAATTGACAGCTTTGTAGAAGTTGTGTAAGACTTATAGCATACCCATGTAGTCATCTCCTTTCACTTTATTCTCCTTTCGAAACTACAGTAATTGTTTAGTACATCCGTTTGTAAACGGTCAATTAAATCAAAGTTTGTGAAAACCTGCTGGAGAGGTTTTCCATTTCTTGGAGAACACGTCATTCAAAGTCTCAACAAAAGTTTCCTTCGTCTTTGAAGATTGCAGTTGAAAAATGAAAAGCTCTGTTTTCAGCATTTGGTCCAATGGCTTCAAACATATCCTGTTCATTTCTTGACAAATTCGCAGGATGGATAAAGTGGCATCTCATTGCAAACATCATTTAAATTTGTTTCTGCATTAAAATGGTGTTAATTCATTAAATGTGTTATATAATTATATTCGAAGAGTCTCAAACTGATACAAACTTCCTTAACTTTTGAACGCTCCTAAACCAAACCAGACCTCGAAGTTGTGATTGAAGTGAATCGGAAGCAGTCGTAGGTAGAACTTTTCAGTATTCCTGGGACTGCCTGATAATATCTTGGTGATAACCTTTGGTGATTCTCATTCAAATAGTGTATTTAATCTCATTTCAGTTTAAAACTTAATAGTCAAGACACTGACACTATAATGAACACTGGGTTTTGGCACCACATTCATTTAATTTAAAAGTGTCAGCCGATTGCGTATAGCGCTGCTGAGCGAGTTCATAAACTTGTCTTTGGCTATCATGACACTACATTCATTGTTCACTTGCTAAATGGACAGCTAAGCGATAAACTGTATGAAACTGTCTAGGCATTTTATATTCATACAGTAAATCGTAGCTTAGTGGGGAAATGGATTTGCACGATAAAAATTGGCTTGTTTTATCTTGTTGAACAGTTTAGCTTTCCTTTCTCTAATTAAGAGATTAAGAGATTTCTAGGCTTATCTTGACCAGGACTGTACAGGGTGCGATGGATAAATTGTCGTCTAAATTAACAAGAAAAGAAAATAACACTGACATTTCATTTTAACAGATATACTTACTAATATTACACAAAAATATATTGAAATACTAAATGTTGTGGATTCCGAGATGAAATCCGGTCTCCAATGAATGACAAACGCAGGAATGAAATATCGCAAATAAATGTTTTGATTAATAATACAATTGGTAATACGGTTAGTAGATCCAGAAATGCGGTTAGTAGCAATAATAATATATATACAGTATGGGAAATTCAGTATCGGATTATGACTTCCTTCTGAGTCTACGTGCTCGCAACTGTGACTCCTACAAAGCGGTTAACTCACACTCTTACTCTCTCACTGTTCACTGTATCAGTGTATCTCCGTCACTGTCACTCCCAGGTATTCACTGACAGCAGTACAATTACAGACTGGTCGAGTCCACTTGTATGAAAAAGGAGTGGACCCCATAACACTAAAGAATACATTTATTCAATAAAATCAACACGGCCTCTCGACGACTTCGGAATCTCCTGCATCTCTTTCGGACGGTCTCCTTGTATAAGTTGTTGAATGCTGCCAAAATCCCTGTCTTCAGTTCATTTTTGGTCTTACAATCAGTTTTCTTGCTCTCTACCTGAACTGCGCTCCACACATAATAATCATGGTGGTTGCAGGCTGGAGAGCTAGTCCTGTTGCCAGACATAGTGTCTTCCTGCAGCTACAGTCTTCACTGAAGGCAGCACTACATCCTCAAGACACTTGGTATAGAATTCTATGTTCAGTCTGAGGCTTTGTGGGAAGATGAATAGAGGCATCACCAGTGGTCACTTCAAAAACCTTGGTGATCACCATTAGACTTATCCAACTTTTTCTGAATCCTCTGCTCTGTCCTCAGATTGACACACGAACACTATGAAATGTTCGTATTGGAGCTTCCAGCGCAAATGTCAAGCAGAGCAGCATGTCGTTTCCAAATTTCTGACGGAGTGAATTTCTTCATGGTGCTCTTTTTTTCACAGAGGGTGCCCATCCTACCCTATTATACTGTGCAGCCGTAAATTAACAACAAACAACGCACATTTATCTAAAATATAATATGTCGACAATTTACCCAATTCACCTAGTATCTTGCAAAGAAAAACGGATCTTTTTTTCTGCATGTGTATTTCAATTTTGTCACCATTTCGATTATTTCTTGGCCTATAAGCCGTCAATATGTTCAAATATTGTCAAAATATTTTTACTGACGTTGTTAGAAACAGGGTTTTTTGATTCAAAATGTAACATCAGCAGCTGACTAATTTACGATGGAGATTTCAGTTGACGGAATGACTATTGATACTGCAGCAGAAAACAACATTGTTGTGCAGAATTTCTCTCTTTTGAAAGTATATCCCATGTACGTTAGCCACTGTTACACCTGCTACAGTTATTTTTTTTTAATAAGGAACACAACGACTTTCAAGGTAAGATTTCTAAATATGCACCATATAAGATTTCTAAATATGCAAACCAATTCTGAGATCTTTCTGGCGGACCAAAGATACAAGTCACATGGGCTGCATATAGTTAAAAAAACGTCAGGTTTGGCAGAAAAGAAAAGAAAAAACTACGGATAATTGCTTTAACATCGATTTCTGGATGTTAAGGCTTTTAGTGTTGCTCAGGATCGCTATCATTTTCATTCTTTGTTAGATTATTAAGAATTCAATGACACACTTAAATGGGTTAGACTCTTCTTTATGAACTGGTGGAGGAATTCTTCTATCTTCCTTTACACGTCAGGAATACATAGTTAAAGTAAATATGATAGTGAATGTGACAAAGACTGTAGTTGAATACTAAACCGTACGTAGTATCTTCCTTGTTAACTTTATTTTAAATCTTGGCGTTGTTCTTGAATATCTTAGACGTTCATATGCAACAGATATTTTCCATTGCAAAATACTATTTAATAAAGTATAAAATGTAAATTGCATATGACATTGTTTTGTCATTTTCTCCGATGAACAGGAAAATCATGATTTACTTGACAGCCATCATGTTCACCGATAAATATTTCTACTAACTCATTGCTTTGGCCTTTTATTGGATTTCTCTTTTTGTGGCTATCGTAATTCTATAGTCCGCTTGTATTTTTCTACACTGCAACATACGGATTGTATGCTATCAAAGCCGAAATTGTTTCGAATACCGATTGTAACCAGTTCCAATTCTCAGGTATAAAAGATACGAAATCACTGTTCCTCAGCTCGATAATAAATATTCTGACAGTAACAATTTTCTCATTCATTTGGATTTATATTTCTGGCATTAAGATAGACCTTACTTTGGAAACGAAATCATTGCAAACGAATGAGAATGCGGTGTAGCAGTTCGGAATGTAGAAGGTGAAATTAGTAGCTTCTGGATTATTGATGTCAGACAGTCATTTGTGTTGAGCATGGTAATTTGTAAACCGGGAAATAATACTTTGAATAGCACTCCAGTGGTTCACTTCAGGATCTCATTTCCAGTATTAGGGCCATTAATCAACCATATTATAATGCTGAATAATTTCATTCTCTGAAATGCGAGACTTCACAGCTTCATTCTATAATTATTTCTTATTTTTGAATTCTAGACTGTTTTCTATGACACGTAAGCACATGTACTTCAAATTATTTTCATACGGAGCCTTATTGTCTTGCCTTTCCAATATATACCTCTCATCTTCATTCATATAGTGTCCCTTCTCTTTTTATCTGTTTCCCATACAGCGAGGATATTCTTCGTTTTTCTCATTCATAATTTGTCTTTATTCATCTGAATCTATCCTTCTTCTAAAGATTTTTCTTCTTTGTTATAGACACGTAATAAATCATAGTATCAAATTTCTTCCTCTTTAATTTAGTCATTGTTCATTTTAGCACCATTGTTGTAGTACGACTGCCTTCTATTCTGTTTTTAGAAGTATAGCTGTTTTTGTATTTGCATTAAATTTCTTTGAGATTCTAGCAGGCTCTATTTCTTTGAGATTCTAGCAGGCACCACTTAAGTTTTCGCGACACTATCTATGGCATTCTGCTGCTGAATTTGACCAATGAAAAGTAGCTAGAGCTTTTTGCAGAGATGTATTTTATTTTACCTAAAATGGATACGTATACAATTTGAAATTGAAATAACATCCGGCTATAAATCATGGTTGATTTCTATTTCTATTTAAAAGATTTTGTTAGTAAAAATCATGTGGTTAAAAAGAATAAAGAAATAATTAAACAATACTTATAAACAATTAATTAATTCTAGTTTCACCTACAGCCACAATTATAAAATTATATTTCTTCACCGTTTCGTATAGCCACCCCAGTTTTCTTTTACGCTCCTAGAAGCTTTTTCCCCTTCCTCTATTTTCTTCTTCACCACTCCTAACAATTTAAGACGTTGTTCTCACTCTCTGAGATATTTTGAGGCGAAGAATTTCAACAAACTATTCCACATTGTATTTATTGTTATTGTTACAAATTATATTTCATAATTAGATGAGCATATAGTGTAACGAATATTGGCACAGAAAGTGGAATGGGCGAAACATGTTCAAATTCAAGGACAGACTACTGCGTCCACTTTCTCGCAAAAGCCCGACGGAATGTTATCAATCCATCTGTTTTCCATTATTTCGGATATGGCTTTCCAGTTAGATTGTTTTTTCTATCATTGAGTGGAAACCAGTAAAGAGAAAGAAACAAGGATTTCCATACAGGATAGCAGGCAACAAGAAACCACAACAAATAGAGTACAAAATCTATCAGAAGCCATGATCCTTTACGTTCGGAAAGGACGTAGAATTAATAAAATATTTCATATTTAAAAAATGACAGGACAGCAAAAAACAAAAACAAAAACAAAACACAGTAAAATTGTTTATTTAACCAATTGAGAGGGAAAATCTATATACTGTAATCTAGAAATCATAATCTATAAATCGATATATGGTGACGATGTTTGTTTTTTTAAATATTAAAATAGAAATAGCCTATGTTTTGTCTGAAATCTGGCTTTTACTTACATATCATTAATATTGTCTCAAGGTATTTATATTTCATATTACAAAATTAAATTAATTCATTAGAATGTCTTTAAATCATTTAAAAATAAGATCTTTTTTGTTAATTCACCCCAAAATATTATTTCTCCCCAAAATAAAAATAATTTATATCTACTAAAATTCACACAATATTCTCTCAGAGCGATGCTCCCAGATTACAATATTGTTGAGTTGACCATTGCTATCGCAAGAAACCTTGGCAACTCAGTTGCGCTATTTCTACATGTAGGGGTCTACATTAGCAATCACCACGATAAACAAGCCAAAAATAGAGTTTTATCTACTTTGTTTTTTAAATTTTAAAAATTCCCTTGGAAGTACCTCGAATGTCACCCGCACTTGCGAAATGTGAATAACTTCCGGATTTTTTAGCCATTCCGAAGGTTGGAGGCAAGCTAAAAAATTTTGATTTAAAATTTATAATTCCAAAATTAAAAAAAAAAAAACAACAACACTTTCAAACTTGGATTTAAGATTTATAATTTTTTTGGAGGGTGTGGGGGTCGGGTGAATTAATATTTGTGATAAGTAACTTTACATTATTTGGGGTGAATTAACAGAAAAGATATTAAAATATTTTATTTAGTATAATTAGTTTTTTTTACCTCACATTATATAATTTTAGGATCACATTCTACACTTGGCTTCCAATAATGGTCCAAATTAGAAGCAAGTTTGTAGAAGTTAAATTGTAGAAAACAAATACGAAACACTTCTACAAAGTTACCAATTCTTGAACGGTTGAGAAATAGTGATATAATTACAGTGTAACTCGGATATAAGACAGTTGTCGGGACCGGAGAAGAAGTCTCTTATATCCGGGTTTGGTCTATTTTATAAACATTAAAACAGGCTCTAATTTGGGACCAGAGAAAATCTCTCATATATCCGGGTTTCCCTTATATCCGGGTCTCTTATATCCGGGTTACACTGAACCAATCAACGAATGAAAATATAAAATTTCGTCAGTACATTGAAGATAGATATGTCAAATAAAAATGTTTTATTTTGCATGTCAATACTGAAATAGTTTCCCTGTGTTTGTGTATGCGAGTTTTAATACGCGTATTTATGTTTAGGTTGAAGTCATATATGTACGACTGCAGCCATAATAATAGATGTATTACGTCAAAAGCTGAAATTTCAGTCAATGAGAATGCAAGTTACTTGTATAGATATTACACAGAAACAAATTCGAAAATTGTAATTGGTGAGTTAGGAACTGGACCAAAATTTTACTGAATATTGGATACATAATATTAGACAAGAAATTTATAAAAAATAAAAGGTAAATACCAGTTAAACATTTAGAATTGCTTCTCTAATTTGCGATTAATTAAAACATTTTTTATTTTTTATTTAATGATTTCAAGAGGGAAAATAATTTTACTTCGATTTCAACTTTCAACATTTATAAAAATATCGAAGGTAAGTAATAAAACATATAGTTTATTTTTTCAAACTAAAAATGTGATAATTCAAAATTCTCTTTACGTAGTCACTATTTTGACACAAAATGTCAATCTCATTCATGTATGAAAAAACATATATGAATTATACATATATTTTAAATAAAAAAAAAAGAACTCTTTCTAGTTAGTTCAATTATTCCCAAATTAAAAGTGAATTTATTTCGAATATGAAAAAAAATGCAACCCAGATTTACATACAGCAATTTACTTACTACTAAAAAATAAGTGGAATTTGTTTAGTAAACTAAGTCGGATCAAAATTTTAAATAACGGCAGATTTTCGATTAATTATGAGTGAAAATGCTATTTGAAAATAATATCATTTTATTCTGCGAAAAGATCAAATTTTTCTTGAATTTTTCCTGTGAAATATTTTTAGCAGAACGTAGAATTTAATGGAAGAAAAACGATCTTAATTCATTTTCAGTGTCAGATATCTATAAGAAAAGATGGGATAATTTGATAATCATACTTATAAATTTTATGTAAGAAATATTTAAAATTACACTATGAATTTTTAAAGATGTAGAAATTAAAAATAATGTTCTGACCGAGGAGGAAATTTATTCGAATAACCTGAAGTAAAATTACTCTTTCAAAAAATTACCTAAAAATATTACCACTCACCGAAATCACTCATTGTTTAAAAAAATATCTCATCCAATAACACATGGAATGTATATTTCGTTGATTTATCGGGTTTGCTGATTATTTTTAAATATTGAGACTAACGTTTTTCAAACCAAAGTCCAGTTCAATTTCGGAGCATTCCTGGGTGTACATTGTTTATTCCTTCCTCTTCCCTTCATTGCTCACATTCAATTATATATTTCTTTTCATTCTTTTCATCTTTTCTCTTTCGTTCATTCTTTCTTTCTTTCACACATTGATTCTTATCTTTCTTCTTTTTTTAGTCCTTTCAGCGTTAATGAGTGTTGGAGAGTATGAGAAAAAGACAGCAAAAACAACGTAAGCCAATCGCTATTATATCCCGTTTCCATGGCAAATGCTTAGACGAACGACATTGCTCTCTTCCAGCATTTCAGACCTTTCCATCTAAGACAATCCATGCATCGTACACAGGGTCGAAACATTCAGTTCGTATTACAGTCGTAAGAAAGAATATGCACCCATGTAAATTGTTACTGAGAAGCACTCTTTTAAGAAATACACTATCGGGTGTATGAGCCTTCAATCACTACAGTCTTAACATTTTCAAGATTAGAGTCATTTATTTTTTATTTTCATAATTTGCACTTATACGTTCATACCAGAAACAAGTTCAGTAACCCTCAACTATTAAGGAGAGGGGGAAATAAAAGAAGAAGAATTATTAAGAAGACAGAAGATAACGATTGATATTTGATTTAAAGTTTTGAAGATCAAAGTTCGCTGGGAAACAAAAAACAACAAAAAAAAAAAAAACAGAAGAGAGTTCCACTAGAGAGATGTACGAAGGAAGAGACCTTTAGCATAGAAATTACGATTATACTTTAGCCATTTCAACTCTAAATTGATGAGACCATACAAGCAATCTGCAACTGCGCTTAAATTCATAAAGTCTAGGTACAATATTGGAAAGTTCCATCGAAGAAATTCCACGAAACTATTTCTAAAAAAGCCACAAGGAATCTAAGTTACGGCAGTGGAGTAGTGATTGAAGCCGAGATGCCAGGTTAGGACTAATAACATAACATTCTTCTTTGGATTTTATCAAGAATAAGTAAATATATAGCAAGAGCACCAGAACAGATGTGGCAGCGGTATTTGAAGCAAGGATAAATAGTAAACTAAAAATATGTAAGATAGATTCTTGCGAAAAGAAATTGTCTATCACGACATAGTGAACTAACAGACTTAGCAATTGATTCAATCTAGACTTTCCACTTTATGTCACTGGGAAACTTTGGTCCAAGAAGGGGCAATAAATCATTCTCTGGTGGAAGGTAAAAAGGGTTCTCTCAGATGATTAAAAGAGAGAATGATATTTGAGACGTTAACATTAACAAGTCAATACTTAGCCCAGTTAACAACAGATTGTAGGTCATTTTTAAGATCAACTCCCAATTTCACCTTATCGAAACGATCAGACTTACTAGTCTGATTCGTTCGATAAGGTGAAGTAAGAGAGGAATAAATTGTTGTGTCCTCATTTTTTCCTCTTTGATTCTTTTCTATATTTTCCTTTTTGCTTCTTTATTTATTCACACTTTGTTTTCTTCTAAACTTTCATTTTGAGTGTATTTATTTATTTCACTTTTCAGCACGTTTCTTTCTTTCTTTCTTTCTTTCTTTCTTTCTTTCTTTCTTTCTTTCGTGACTTACCACACGCATCTTTTCTTTTGTCACACTTCGTCTTCATTTTTCTTTCTGTCTTTTATTTTGTTTCTTAAATTTCTTTTTTCTTTTTTCTATCTCGTTTTTTTCTGTTTTTCTTCGTGGTTTTCATTTTTTTTTCGTTCTGTCTTTGCCTGATACCAATGGACCAAACCTATATCTATAAATACAAAAAAGCTAGTTAATAGAGATTTTAGTGTAATCGTACAATGTGATTATCATTACATATGCAATCTATTTATACATCGATAATTATTGTACAATTCTTGATATAAAATATCAACTGCGACATTCCTGAAGGCCTTACACGTGTTGAAAAGTGTTTTTGGCGATATATTCCACGTCCTCTAAATAATGCCCATAATTTGATAGAGGAATTGGTTAAAACAGCCATTATCCTGTTTTCTTTTCTTTCCCAGTAGCTATACGTCCTTCGAGGTGCAAAGAACAATATTTTTGTCTTATATGTAATATATTTTGCCTTGTATAAAATTAAGGTCTGATAAACATTCAGGTAATGAGAAGGTGGGGAAAATACCAACTGAATAGCATTAAATATTTTTAGAAGAGAGATATCTAAAAAAATACTGATATAATATTTCCGGTAAATCACAATAACCCATGCATATACATTAATACATCTATCTATCTTTTCACAACTGTATATATATATATATATATATATATATATATATATATATATATATAGATAGATAGATAGATAGATAGATAGATAGATAGATAGATAATATTAGTGGTAAATACACACATACATATGCAAAATATATAAATATATATATACATAGGTGCATACACATACATGTATAATTTTTTAATAAAAATTCCAAGAGGATAGAATCCAGGTAGAACTCAATGTCCAGGACAGAGTAAGGTCATAATAAAAAGGCTTAAACACTAATATTCCATGGTCATAATTTATTCCATTGGAATCGTAAATACGATCTAATTCATCAGACCTACAAATTCAAAAAGAAAACAGAAAAAACAACTCCGGAAATAAAAACAGAATTTAGAGAGAGTGTAAGTATGAGGGTGTGGGACGAATGTTAGGGCTAAAGAGAGGGGTAACAGACTAGAGAAGGAGGGAGATTAAACCTTAACAGAGAGAATTTTAGGTGAGGTGAGTGGAGGGGGTTTAAGTAAGAGAAATATGAATTTTGTCGGATGACGAATGCATAAAGATACATTTCGTGGTGACATACACACACCATAGACGATCTAATGTTGAAGATCAGAATAAGAGGGAGGGAAAGGAAAGAAGAGGTGGGAGAGAGAGATGGGGCGAAGGAAAGTAAAATTGAAGGACATTTACTGAAAGGGCCGCTGTGTAATTAAGAAAATTTGACAAAGTTAATATCGACTACAGGTTACAAATGAAATATAAACATATAAAAAATAAATATAACGATTATCTAATCTAGCAAGGGCCTATATTATATATATATATATATATATATATATATAGAGAGAGAGAGAGAGAGAGATAGAGAGATAGATAGAGTGAGAGATAGAAAGAGAGAGATAGAGAAAGAGAAGCAGAGAGATATTAGTCTTTTCACCCCTATCGACCAAGCTAGATCGCTAAATGTTGGTATCTATCTATCTATCTATCTATCTATCTATCTATCTATCTATCTATCTATCTATGTTCATACCTACCTATCTGCTTTTTAGGCGCATCCATAATAATGTCTTCGTATGTATGGAAAGAGATTAAGTCGTTTGATGTACGTATTCCAATTAAATTGGAATTTCGTAAACGTACCCAATAGAGGATGTAAAGAGTGGCATTTAAATTCCGCTGATTCATGTAAACAAGCCATTAGAGGATGTCACACAAATCGTTGTCAATCTGAAGTTTTGATAAGAAAAAAATATCATAAACTCATCTGAATGTAGTTTTTTTTTAATTAAAAATAAAACTCTTAGGTTTGTTTACTCTCCAATATTAAGTAACCTGGTGATCACATGACCGGAATTTTATTTCCAATCACATTTTCATAAAATAAGAGAACTGATTTCGTCAGGTATGTTTTGAAATATTTTTTGGCTTTTTAATACAAAAACGTGATGAGATACGATGTGTTTTCAACGAAAGAAGATAAACAGTTGACCAGAAAGAAGGAGAAGAGACAAAGACAAAATAAACTAAAATAAAATGACGCTTATAAATAGCAAAGAGCATGTTTTCCCTAGATTAATTCAAGATTTTTTCATTTGTATTTCCATTTGTATTTCGGATTTTACAAGCAAACTTCTATAAATAAAGCGAACTCATTAGTATTTTTTTCAAAATACAATGAATTAAATAATATATATATATATATCTATATCTATCTATCTATCTATCTATCTATCTATCTATCTATATATATATATATATATATATATATATATATATAATCTTGTACAGCGTCACATATAGAAAAGTTTATATTTGACCAATGTTTGGCCTTTGAATAACCAAAATTGCTAGAAATATTATATTCGAAGCTCTTATCTCAAATATTGAACATTGACATTGGGGGATATATAAAACAACTTTCTCTCTCTTACTCTCTCTCTCTCTCTCTCTCTCTCTCTCTCTCTCTCTCTCTCTATATATATATATATATATATATATATATATATATATATATATATATGACCCGCTAATGATTTACAAAGGAGGTCACATATGGAGCAAGAGGGGATTGTGAGATGAGATCACTGTTAGATTGGCCAACCGTTTAGATCTTGCTCTCGCTTCTTGTAGACGATTCAGACAAACAGATTGAAAAGTGTTGATCTCCATTCTACCCGCTGCAAGGCTAAGCGCTCAAGGGTATTATGTGGTATATTGACATCCTTTTGTATATATATATATATATATATATATATATATATATATATATATATATATATATATATATATATATATATATATATATATTTCCAGCCTTTCAGACCTTTCCATCTAAGACATTCCATGCATCGTACACAGGCTCGAAACATACTCATTCCCTTCGTCTTTTAGTCTAACGAAAAAATATGCACCCAGGCAAATTCTTACCGAGAACCACTCTTTTGAGAAACACTCTCGGGTGTATGCTTCTCCGATCACTACAATCTTAAAATTTTCAAGATTAGTATCATTCATTTTCAATATTGCATATCCTCATAATCTGCTCTTACTTACTCATACGTTCATACCAGAAAATCGTTCTGTGTCCCTCTACATTGAGCGGCTCTTGGATATTGAACATTTAGAACAAAACAAAAAAAGCGTACTATTTTTAACGCCAACTACAAGATAACTGACAATATTTTGCCAGGTTTATCTCAAGTGTTCGACAGAGTTACTGAGGATGACGCTCAAGTGCCAATCTGGTCAGCAGGGCGAATTTGTTAAACATTTTACCATTGTAAATGTTCCTTGAATAACCCTTTACATTTACTTGTCTAGTCTGGCACGAGGCAGAGACTGTAACTTCCTCAGAGAAAATCAAAATTACAGTACGAAGAGACTGGTCTGCAAGAAGACATTCATAACAAACATATTGTAAACGACCCCTAATTTATTATTTACAAATTACAAAACTTTGTTATGGTGTAAAGGGCTCGATAGTTCTATAAAATGAGACAATCTGACTAATGTTGTTACGAAATTCTCACGCAAGGTGTGCTTTCTAAGAAATGGTTGGTTCCATTTAGCGACATATCAGTTCCTATGGGTTAATTAACGCTCATATCTAAATATTTTAAACACAATTATATGGCTTCAGATAAGCATATTTTGAACGAAAATGTATGCTTACAACTACAGATAAAATATATTGTTGGTCATTTTGATATAAAGTGTATTGTTCGTAATTCTACTGTAAAACCGTTTGCTGGTCATTTTACTTTAACATGCATTTTTCTTCATGTTATTTTTAAAAGGTATTATTTTAATATAAATATGTATTGTTGGTTACTATTTATATAACATTTATTGCTTACATAGTTTTTGGTTTTTGTTTTGGATTTCACTATTTGCTCTGACTTGGGTCTATATCAGATGCTAACCTACCCCCACCCCGCGGTCAATGGCGGAACCTGGAACAACAACAATTAAAGGTTGTTTCCACGCTCCTCAAAATCTTCATCTCCCCATCAGATGTCTTGCTGTCGGATGTATTTTATCGTCATACCCAGGACTATTCTAATAAATGTTTAACGTTACGCGCTCTAGAACTTATTATTAACCAAGCTTCTTTGGTCATGAATATGACCTCACGAGTGACAGATATAATTAAGAATGAACGATCTCACTACACTATCAAACTTATCAGGGAGATAACGTTGTTAATTATCGTAATCGGATAAACGCCTTGTAGAACAACAACGCTGCTATTTAATCATTGGCAATGTGCAGAATAATTTTATGCACATAAACATTTCATGTACACAAACTTTCTTTTATATTTTTTATGTTACTGTTATATCGGAACGTACCTATTTCTATTGTATATTGACTCTCCCACAGATAAGTAGTAGTAGTAGCAGTCGCCAATTGAGCTCAGTGAGTTGTGTGAGTCAGTCGATGCATGTCAGTCAGGCATTAAAGTATGAGCCCCAAAACTAGATTGCTGCATCATTAACTATTATTGCAAGTTCCTAACGTTTTGTTCGTCGAACCTAATTTAGGACCGACTCAGTAAAATACAAGCCTCCACGGTGAAAACTACTCTACAACAGTTACTCTATTCTGTTATTTTGTGATAAACACAAAACACAAATTTGGTCTCTATTTTTATTTCTGGTCTTTACTGAGAAAATATTCACTGATAATGTTAATATAAATGTTAATTAATTTGCTTTTCCTTTACAAGGAAACAGTCAGAATTCATTGACACAATAACTAGATGTATACTCGGTTGAAATGTATAATGTTTGCTGAAAAATTAGTTTTTCAAGAAAATAACTTTCATATATACGTTATCTCTTATCTATCTTTTTAGTACTGATGGGAGGTTCCGTTCTAAGCTTTTGTTTACAGCAGTGTAGGAGGTCACAATCTTGATAAAATCAACATATACACTTCTAGATACATGTGCTATTGAATTTAGTTACCAATGTCGTTAAACATATTCAAGTGATGTGGGTTTTATATTTGGTTATGTGGAGATTCAGTAGCGCCAGTCTATGAGACCTGATGAAGTATAGTCTTCATGTTTCCAAACCTTATTCACTCGAAGCGATTTTTCATGAATGATCGGAGAAATACATTTAAAAAGTATATGTAATATTTGATATCTGTCTATATTTCCGAGATGAGGTATTATGTACATTATTTACATTATTCGGACTATTGTCCTCATATTTGTTACAACGTTCCGTGGTTGTAAGTTCCGGCCTTCTTCAAGTGGTTCGAACCGAACCCTTTATTTCGCTCACTGGGGTAGACTGTTCTAGTTCCACGTGCCATGTTTAATGGATATCAGTTATCAGTTATCTCCTGTTAATTTTCCCTCTGAAAGTTTTCCACTGCCTTAACCGGGTATTGAACTCACAGTCTTTGTCGTCCTGTCACAGGATCTAACCAACACCTGTATCACTGTGCCATGTGTCCTGAAACGTTGTAATAAATATGGCAACAAAGATGAAGACAATAGTCCGAATAATGTAAATAATGTAATATTTGATGTTTTACATTTTGCAAATATTTAGGCAGATTTCCTCCGCGTTTTTAATGTCCTCTGATCAGCGATGTAACACTTTATCGCACAATTAACAATTGTCATTGTTTATGACAATATTCTGAGGCATATATATCAATAAAGTTTACAAAATCAAAAGATAACAATATAGCATAAATTAGCTAATATACCGTCTCTAGTTCTTATGAAAATCATATAAACCTCAATAGAATTGAGAACAATTTCAAATTAAATGTTACCAGAGTATAACATATTAGGATAGAATAAAAAGAATCTATTTGACGTGAATAATATTTTTATATAATGTATTTTATAAATAATAAATACTAATTCTCTTAATGAATCCAATAGATTTATATTACAATGATGAACGGATCCATTTCTCCGTGAAATCTCAAGATATTTGAACATTTATTTATTTACAGTCTGTTTGAAGTTGTGTACATAACATAAACCTCAATTGCATTTGAAAAAGAAATGTCAAATTGTAAACGATTAATGTAGACGTCAAAACAAATCTTGGGTAAATTTTCGGGTAGTTTCAACATGTTTTATTAAAATTATTGTCATCCTGAAATTATTGTGCGGATTAAACTAATATTAGTTTAAGGTCTCTGAAATTTAATCTGTCCTGGGTAAGACGATAAACAACATCCAGGAGAAAGGCCTTTCATCAGGAGGTTTTGAAGAGCATGGAACCGTCACTTAATTGCTGGTGTTCCAAGGCCCACACTTATCCGGGGTGGTAGCACCTATCAAAGTCCGAGATCTGGGCTTAACAATCCAAAAGGGTTCAAAACTCTATAAAAGTATAAAAATTGGTTTTAATACCAGAAAAATTATTACATGCAGTACACTTAAAAAAGAAAAAATATTGCCAGCAATACATTTTTGAAAAAAAATATTACTAACAATACATTTTGGGGAAAAAAACTATTATCAGCAATAAAAATCTTGTCGCCATTAAATAAACCATTGATGTTGATATGCCGT